CCTGTCCTGGCTGGGCCTGGTGGTGCAGGCGGTCCAGGCAGGCGTCGTCCCAGACACTCTGCTTGTGCCAGTGGCTGTCACCTACGACTTGGTTCCAGAGGCACCCCATGATGCATGCCACGTAAGACCTTCCTGCCCTGGGTCCCCAAGTGGATACCATCTCCAGAGAGGAGGCACAGTGTTGTGTCCTGTGACTGAGGCCCCTCGGGGCTGGGCTTAATGGGGGAGTGCAAAGGAACCTCACCCCTGTGGTTAGTATCCTGTGGCACCCGCCGAGGCTGTAACAGTCATCCTCTCATTTCATTCTCAAAAGACCTTGCTGGGGAAGGATTTTTCCTGTTTCATAGACAAGAAAATGAGCCTGGAGAGGTCACGGTCATGTACCAGTTGGAACCTGAGATGAAGTGGAACGGTAGGCCTGCACCAGGCCCGCCGGCTCCCTCAGTGCCTCCCTCCTTCCTGCAGGCCTTGGCCCCCCTGGGGCTGTGGACAGGCCTTCTGGCTGTTCTACGGAGCCTGCGACGCTGGGGCAGCAGCCGCCGAGTCTGTGTCCGTGTGCATCTGGCCCAGCCCTTCTCCCTGCAGGTGTGGGCCCTGTTGGGCAAGGCTGGGAGTACCTGTGGTCTGTCCTAGGGCTTCTGGCAGCCTGGCCTTCAGGCCACTGCAAGGACAGCCTGGCTCACTTCAGATGGGCTGTATGTAGGCTTCCAGGTTGGCCAGGGCAGACCACCTAAGAGCCTTGTCCTGGGCAGGAATACACCATCAATGCCAGGAGCTGCTGGGGCAGCAGGCAGACCCTGGAGCAGCTGCTGCAGCCCATCGTGCTGGGCCAGTGGTAAGAGCAGAGGAATATGAGGGTCTTGGGCAAGGGAGGCAGCTCTTAAGACCCCGGCTCGTGAGCTGGCACCCCCTCCTGTCCTGACCACAGACACGTCACCAGCCCCAGCCTTCCCTCACCAGCTAATCTTTGTCCTGTCAGACCATCCAGGTGCCCCTGCCCCGCCTGTAAGCTGGGTGTGAGTTATGGCACATGGACCTGGAAAGGACCAAGGGTACACGAGCTCCCCTTGCAGGGATGGAAACGCCCTCACCTTTATATTCAGGAGGCTCTGGGAGCCCCTGCGGTTGTCTTGACACTTGGTCCCCTCACCTGTGATCTGTGTCTCTCTCCTAGCACCGTTGTCCCCGACACTGAGAAGGAGCAGGAGTGGACGCCTGTGACTGGGCCCCTTCTGGCCCTCAGGCAGGAGGACCAGCTGCTGGTCAGGAGGCTGAGCTGGCACGTCCTGAATGGTGAGGGGCCTCGGTCTGGCCTCTGGGGAGGCTCCTGAGCACCGTGTCCTCCCAGCTGGCCAGTGGGTCAGGGCCCTCTGTTCCGGGTGGGTTTCTGCACCTGCCCCCTCCCGCGGGCCTGTTGGGGCACATGAAGACTGGCGCCTGACCCTGCCCTTGCCCCCAAGGAGGGGGCAGCCAGGGGGACATGATGGAGCCACTAAGTGAGGGCACACTTTGAGGCGACACTGGCTGAACTGAATGACGTATGTCAGGGACTTAACAGGTACCCGGAACAGAGGGGGCCCTTAATAGCATTGTCACCATCTTCTCAAGTGTCTATGCTGTGGCAGAGACTGTGGGCTGGTGGGTAGTAAGGGCTTTCCTGGTGGCTTAGATGGTAAAGAATCTTCCTGCAATACAGGAGACCTGTGTTAGATCCCTGGGTTGAGAAGATACCCTGGAAAAGGAAATGGCAACCCACTCCAGTATTCTTGCCTGGAGAATCCCCATGGGCAGAGGAGCCTGGCGGGTTACTGTCCATGGGGCCGCAAAGAGTCAGACCCGACTGAGCGACTAAGCACAGCACAGGCCTACAGGAGGCAGGGAGGGTCTCTGAGCCTCCAGCTCGGGTTGCGGCATATGTTTGATAAATGTCAGTTCTCCACCAGGGAGGATGGCACGCGAGGACCAGGCCTGCCGTGCCCTTCCCAGGGTGGGGTGGTGTGGGAGTGTGTGTGTGGCTGCTGGCAGGGAGGTGTTCTTGGCTGGGAAGACTTGCCCAGTGACGGGGGACAGAGCTGCTGGGCCTCGGCCCCTGACCAGCATCCCTGACCCCTGGCTCCAGCCAGCGTGGCAAGCTCCGCGGTGATGAGCACGGCCATCATGGCGACGCTGCTGCTGTTCAAGCACCAGAAGGTAGGGCCCGCGGTGCTAAGGGCTGGGGGGAGGAGCCACGGCCCTTGGCTAAGTCCCCCTCTGCCCACCCAGGGTGTGTTCCTGTCGCAGCTCCTGGGGGAGTTCTCCTGGCTGACAGAGGAGACGCTGCTGCGTGGCTTTGACGTGGGCTTCTCAGGGCAGCTGCGGTGCCTGCTGCAGCACACGCTGAGCCTGCTGCGGCCACACGTGGCCCTGCTGCGCATCCAGCAGGGGGACTTGCTGGTGGTTCCGCGCCCTGGCCCAGGCCTCACGTCCCTGGCACGCCTGAGCGCCGAGCTGCTGCCCACCTTCCTGAGCGAGGCTGTGGGTGGTGAGTCCCCAGGGCTTGTGGTGGCTGGAACGTGCAGGGGTGAGGGCCATGGCGCGCCTCCTCATGTCTGCCTCCTCCTCCCCCAGCCTGTGCTGTGCGAGGGCTGCTGGCAGGCAGGGTGCCGCCCAAGGGCCCCTGGGAGCTGCAGGGCATCGAGCTGCTGAGCCAGAAGGAGCTGTACTGCCAGATCCTGCTGCTGCTTCACTTGCTGCCACAGGACCTGCTGCTGCTGCAGGTGAGACCTCCCCCGCAGCCCTCTCAGTCCTGCGCCTCCCCTCCTGGACGGAGGGCCCTGCCTGACCGAGCCCTGTGGCGGCAGGTCTGGTTGGGCTGCGTCTCTGGGCCGCCCTGCCCAGCTGGCCTGAGGTCACATGGGTGCCCCTCTCGCCCCTCAGCCCTGCCAGTCTTCCTACTGCTACTGTCAGGAGGTGCTGGACCGTCTCATCCAGTGTGGGCTCCTCGTGGCTGAGGAGGTAGGAAGGGGGCTGTGGACAGAAGCCCCTGCCTGGGCCCGGCTCCTCTCCCGCCCCCGGCGCAGCTGAATAGATGCCTGGGTCCTGCCGCCACCACACTCCACCTTGGGGTCTGTCACCACACCTGCACTGGACCCGTGCATACCTGTACTGACGGGCTTCTGCATACCCCCTGCCCCCCACACCTCTTGTCCACAGGGGCTGTGGCCCTTGAGGGTAGGTGCTCAGGTCCTCTCAGCAGCTGTCACCGTCTCTTGTGGCCTGGGGCATCCTTCTAGGCCTCCCAGGTCTGCGTCTGGATGGCCATGTACCCCGTTGGGGGGGGCCAGGACTGGACCTTGGCCAGCCTGACAGGGTCCCGTGGCTCTCCCGGCCCTCAGACCCCTGGCTCCCAGCCAGCCTGTGACACAGGGAGGCAGCGTCTGAGTGCAAAACTGCTGTGGAAGCTGAGTGGGGACTTCACTGACAGTGACAGTGACGACTTCGAGGAGACTGAGGGCCGGTACTTCAGGGTGCGTTGGGAGAAGCCACCGGGGCGGGGGCCGTGGGGAGGCGGTGGGAACTGCCCTCAGCCTGACCTGTCCCCTTCCAGCTCAGCCAGCAGTCGCGCTGCCCCGACTTCTTTCTCTTCCTCTGCCGCCTGCTCAGCCCAGTGCTCAAGGCTTTTGCGCGGGCTGCCGCCTTCCTCCACCGGGGACAGCTCCCAGATACTGGTGAGCCCTGCACAGCGTGGCCATCCCAAGGAGAGGCTGAACACGGTGCGGGGTGAGCTCTGCCTGCGTGGGGCCCAGGTCTCAGACTCTCTCCCTCACAGAGTCCGGCTACGCGGAGCAGCTGTTCCAGTTCTTACAGGCCACAGCCCAGGAGGAAGGGCTCTTCGGTGAGTCCCAGCAGCCAGCCCGGGCCTTGGGCGGCAGGGGGAGGGTGGCTGGTGGCTGCTGCCCCCTAGTGGGCAGTGAGAGCCCAAGTTCGGGAGTGCCGGCTGCAGGGTGGAGGCCTTTGGGTCCAGCTTGAGTCCTCTCCTTGGGGTGTTCCTTCTTTAAAGAGAGGAGAAGCTGTGCCGGGGGACTGTCCCCACCTACAGCCTCCACTTCTCTTTCATCCAGAGTGTGCGGACCCAAATCTTGCCATCAGCGCCATCTGGACCTTCAGAGACTTGGGGGTGAGAGAGGCCAGTCTCCTCATCCGCCTGTCCCCCTGCCTCCCACCCCCATACTCTGATAGAGCTGCTGAGGGGAGCTGGCTGTACCCACTCGGGGATTTACCCAGGGTTTCCCAAGAATAGGCATGCGGACAGTAGTTGGGGAAGGTAGGATAGTTTTCCTGCCCCTCTCTGTCTCCCTGACCACTGGCTCATCCTGCTCCCAGGTGGGACATCAGGATGTTTGAGAGGCAGCATTTGACCTCAAGCACTAAGGCTCAAGGGGTCAGTTTTCCAGGGAAGGGGCCCAGCGCCCATGTGAGCATTCAGCGCCCTTCTCTGTGGCCCAGGTGCTGCAGCAGATGCCTGGCCCCACAGGCCCCATGCTCCACCTGTCCCAGGCCTTTGCCAGCCGGGAGAGCCAGGAAAAGCTGGGACAGTTCATCCGGCAGTTCATCTGTAGCTAGAACTGGGGAGGAGCCCTTGCCGAGACTCCTCAGCCCTGGAACACAGCCCTGCCCTGGAGCAGAAGACTTAATCAGTCTGGACTGTCAGATCTTTGCGGTTTGACTGTGCCTTGCTTTCTGCATCCTTTGCTGCAATAAACCAGAGACTGGGTGAGTCCTCTTTGCCCAGCCTCAGCACTGTGTTTGGTGTGATCGTGTGTGTGTCTGCCCTCCTTCCCCACTGGGTGAGAATGCCCTCTCACTCCTTGAAACACATCCTAAAGGAAGATGAAGTTTATTGAGGTGAGCACCACTGCCTCCCCCTCTACCCGAAGAAAAGCCGTGGGGGCTGGCACCAGGCCTCTTGCGACGCTGGGCTCCGTGAGAACAAATGCCCCTTCTGCCTGCAGCAGCAGTCATCACACCACCTTGCTGATGATGACACCCAGGTCTTCAATCTCACACTGGACTTCATCGCCCTTCTGCAACAGAGTGGGCCATGAGGCTGTCAGGCCTGAGGCGCGGCGCACATATACAGGCCTGGGTTTCTCGGGTCTGAGCCAACCTTGCCAGGCTTCTGCCTTTCCTCGCTCAGCCAACTTACCTTGAGGAAGACAGGAGGCTTCCTGAACATACCCACACCTGGGGGCGTCCCGGTCAGGATGATGTCCCCTGGATAAAGAGTAACGAACCTACGGGCAGAAGGGCCAGGTGAGGTCAGGGGCTGAGGTGCCAGAGCCTGGCATGGGGGTCTCAGTAAAGCCCCCAGGTGGCTGTTTGGGGCCAGGCTCTATCCCACTTACTGAGAGACCCAGGCTATCAGCTCTTCTGTCTTAAACACCATCTGGTTGGTGTTGCTACTCTGCATCACTTCCCCATTCACTCGGCAGCAGATCTTTAGGTTGTGTGGATCTGAAATGCAAAAGCAACACATTTGGGATTCTCCCTTCTGACCCTCAGACCCCTCCCGACAATCAGGAAGCGAAAGCGCAGGGGGCCTTGTAACTTGCCAGGTGAGAGGCTTGTCCGCTGGGCTCCCTGTGCCTGCTCTGGCGCCCTGTGTGGACTCTGGACTCTGGCCCCCCCAGGCCTCCCTGTGCCCACCACCTAGCACAGTGCCCGCCGGTGGTCAGTGGCTGGGTTAATGAGGGAATGTTCAGACTCAAGGGGCAGAGAACAGTGACTGGGTTTTGCATTAAAAAACAGATTCTATCTGCAGCAGAGGCTGACTGTGTGTTACAAAGCAGCAGGGTAACAGCATGAGCAGTAGTGAAGACCCCTGCACCTGCCGGCTCACCTCTAATAGTGTCCTGCACTTTCATCCTGACTTTCTGGTGTTTCACACATCCACAGGCACACCCCCAGGAACCCAGTTTAACTTCAGTGATGACTGACTGCAGGGGGCGCTCTGAGGCTGAATTACACGGACAGGCCCCGCCCGGGTGGCTGTGCTGTCCTCCTCACCCCTGTCTTTTCTCCAGGCTCTCACTGTGCCCTTGCTGCTTGCAGCTGCTGCCACCTGGCTACACGCCGGCTGGGTGAGGCCCCGGGGGTTAGCGCCCATCTCCTTTATTAAAGAAAGGGCCGGGGGCTCGGGAACAGCTGTTCTCTGCGATGCTCCAAGGCCAGCCCTGCTCCCTTCCGACGTGAGGCCTCTCCCAGATGGTGCAGCCAGAGGAAGCCTGACCCAGGCGTCAGGAGAGCCCTGGCCCCTAGTACTGCATGTCACGAGCGCGGAGTCCCCGCCTCTGCTGCTGTAGGCCTCCACGGGGAGGGGCCGGGAGGGAGGCCGGTGGAGCGCTCGGCCCAGGTGGAGAGATCCGCTCTGATCCAACAGCCAACGAGAGGGCAGCCGGGGACGGGTGCAGGGCGGGCCACGCCCCTCACTCCCCGTCTGGAAAGCGGCTTCGCTGACGCATCCATGCGAGAGCAAGGAGAGCAGTCACCAAGCGGGCAGCAGGCACCTACCTGCCACACTGTCCTTGGTCACCAGGGCAGGGCCCAGAGGGCAAAAGGTGTCAAAGGTTTTCCCCAGCAGCCACTGCTTTCCATTGCGTCTCACCTGCCAGTCACGGGCACTCACGTCGTGTGCCACAGTGAAGCCAGCCACATGGGCCATGGCATCTGCAGCCTGTGGGGGCAGCGGGTTTGGCCAGATGGGAGGTTAGCTCATGGCGACACCAAGCCCGGTCACAAAGGGTCTCAAAGCCTCGATCCCATGTCAGGGCTGCAGATAGCTGAGGTGGTGGTGGGCGAGGGGCAAGGCCATGTCAGGGGCGGGTAGCTACCAACCACTCCCCAGTGCCAGGGTAGCTGGCCCTCCCCCTCACCTTGATGCGCTTGCCTCTCTTCCCAATGACCACGGCCAGCTCCACCTCCCAGTCCACCTCCTGCAGGGCGGGAAGGGGCAGTGAGCTGCTGGGCCCTGGGCTCCGCGATTCCGCTGAGGGGCTCCTGCCGCGGGGCCAGGCCTCTTAACGGTGGCGTGGCTGCCGGCCCGTACGTGGGAGACCGCAGCCCTAGGGGAGGCCCCGCAGGGGAGGTGTCACCTGTGGACCACAGACTTCGGGCGGTGGAGGCAGCACCGCTGCAGGCAGGCAGCGACTCCAGGGACTGCGGAAGAGCAACATTTTTCTGGGGAGGGAGTTTTACCAAAATCACTCTTGATACTTCCAAAAAAGGATAAATACCGAATAACAATAGCTAACCCTACTTGTTTGCCAGGCACTATTCTAAGTGCTTTAATGCACTAACTCACTTAAATAATAACAAGATCAACATGCCAAAATAAACATGGGCCAAAGGCTTGAATAAGCAGTTTACAAAAATATATACACACAGCCACAAAAAGGAAAACAGGCTCAGCTCGTTCCATAATTAGCAAAGTGCAAATATAAACTAGATACAAGTTAGTCATGCAAACTGACTTTTCTAACAGTAACAACCATGAACACAAAAAAGAACTGGATTTCTTGGGGAAAGGGCCAAGTCCCTGTTGGTGACGAGAGTACAAGCCTGGAACTGCTTGGCCATAGGAAGGAAGTGCTCAGAAAGTGGTGCGGGTGGGGGCCATCTGGAAGCCTCCCCCCAACCAAACTGAGATCCTCTGAGTGTCAGAGACAATGTAAATGATGGACTATGGACTACGACATATTGGATAAAAGTAAAAATCAGGAATTTACAGTGATAAAGGGACAGGGGTAAAACAAAAAACCAAGCAGTGTTTCTCCACAGAATACCAGCTAGTATAAGTAGAAGGCATGACAGAGAAAAAAAGTCAGCTTTTTCCAACCCTTACTGCAGTAATGGGTTCAGGGAAAGATGACCAGATGATCCCTGGAAGAGAACTTGCGGGGCAAATAAGATAGTCACGTGGTTTCAGTGACTCCCTGCAGACTGTTTACTCACTTCCACAGTGAAATGTACCTTTATCATGGAGAGGTCACGTGAGCATCAAGGAAAGTAAGCGATCAAACTTCAGGACCAGCTGACAGTTCATGTGATACAAGTGCGCACCTGCTACAGACAACGTCAGGGTCCCTCCCCACCCCCCAGCTCATCTACCGCAACCTAAACCCCAGGGTGACGGTATGAGGTGTGATGGTATGAGAGGTGATTAGGTCATGAGGGCAGAGCCCCCATGAAGAGGCTAGTGCCCGTATAAAAAGAGATGTTAGAGAGCTCACTCCAAGGACACAGTGAAGAGGCAGTCATCTGTGGACCAGAAAGTGGGTCCTAATCTGTTGGTACCTTGATCTTGGACTTCCCAGCCTCTAGAATTTCAGGAACTCAATGTCTTGTTTTATAAGTCATCCATTTTACAGTATTTTGTGACAGCAGCGTGAACAGATTAACCTGTGTAGAACCTGACAAAAATGTTTAACCTGAATCCAATCGTGACGGACCAACCAGACAAATCCAGAGTGTGAGGCACGCTATGAGACAGTGTGCCCGATTTCTTCAGAAAGTCTGTCATGAAAGATTAAAAACAGCAGGGAGAAAAACTGCTTGAGATCAGGGGTCAGCAAGCTGTGGCCCACAGGCCAAATCCTTGCTTGTTTGCTGTCTCTGTTCCTGTAAATAAAGTTTTCCTGGGACACAGTCATGTTCCTTCATGGACCAGCCAGGCTGCTTTCACACAACAGTGGCAAAGCTGAACTGTTACTGCAGACACTACTTGCTGCTCAGAGCCTAACATTTACTGTTAACTGGCCCTTTGAGAAAAAGTCTGTGAATCCCTGTTCTGGACAAAAGGCACTAAGAGACATAACCAAATATAACGTGTGATCCTGACTGATCCTGGACCAACACCAAACAACAAAATAGGACCCAAATTAAAAGTCACCTTTGGAGGCACTGCTAATATTCCCAATTGGACTGGTCAATATTAACTTAGATATGGTTAATATTAACTTTCTTAGTTGTGGTAATGGTATTATGGTCATGGAGGACATTGTCCTTATTCTCAGGAGATGTATGCTGAAGTTTTTATGAGTGAACTTTTTTTTTTTGGCTGACAAAGCAACAGACTTTACCGGGAAGGGGCGCCTGGGTAAGGAAACCCAGGAGGAGGGCTGCTCTCCTACATGACTTGTAATTATGAGTGAACTGTCTTAATGTCTATAATTTACTTTGTAAAGTTCTTTCTACTAACCCCCCTTAAAAAAGTGTGTGTGCGCCTGTGGGACATGAGGGAAGGAAGTAGAGACGTGGGACAACAGGGCAGGGGAGGGAGGGAGAGAGGGAGAGAACAGCAAATACAGCACAGTGTACATTGTGAATCCAGGTAAAGACACTGGGTAGTCACTGCATTTTTCCCCCCAACTTTTCTATAATGTTCAAAGTATTTCTAAACTAAAAATTTTAAAGTACTAATAAGGGTACATACACTGCCGGTGGATATGTAAACTGCTTTTGCAGCCGAAGGTCACTGGCTAATTTTTGAAACCCTGCCTATACCCTGATAAAGACATTCACATTCTAAGAGTTAATTTAAAGGAAATAATCACACATTCATGGATGTGCAAAGTCTCTTCTATAAGGATGTTCACTGCAACATTATAAAAGCTAAAAACTGCAAACAACCTATTTAGCAATATGAGGACTACTGAATAAATTATGGCCACTGATACAATAGAAAACTAAGCAGTAACCTAAAAAACGTCAGGGGAGAATATTTAATGGCATGAAAAATGTTCTTGATAGAGAACTTAAGTAAATGGTAAGTACATGCACAGTATAAACAGAAACAGGAATAGAAAAACCCTGGGAATTATATGTGGAATCTAAAAAGAAGTGATACAAATGAACTTACTTACAAAACAGACTCACTGGCTAGAATGAATTTATGGTTGCTGGGCCAGCAGGGAAGGGATAGTTAGGGAGTTTGGGATGAACATGTACACACTGCTGTATTTAAAATGGATAACCAACAAGGTTGGACCTTTTGTATAGCACATGGCACTCTGCTCAATGTCATGTAGCAGCCTGGATGGGAGGGGCGTTTGGAGGAGAATAGATACATGTATATGTATGGCTGAGTCCCTCTGCTGTTCATCTGAAACTATCACAACATGGTTCATTGGCTATTCCCCCAAAACAAGTTCAAAAGGAAAAAAAAATTCTGGGAAGATATACAGTAGAACATGAATGTTGCAAGCCCTGCACAGTGGGGACATGTGTAGCTTTTCATTTCTTTATTTATGTACTTTTGAAATTTGAAAATTATGAAATTTATGTAATTTCGTTACATATTTTATTTATTTTCTATGAAGCAAATATATTACTTTTATAATCAAACAGAAAAACAATTAATGTCTTTTTTCCCCCCAGGAGCTGTCTTATCACTGTATAATACCCTGGAGTTTCTGTTTAATGCACTACTGAGCAATAGGTGGTTCCCTTAGGCGGGACGCTGAGCACCTGTGTGATGGGCCCCAGTGCCCGGGGTGGGGGAATGGGGGGTAGGCACCCACCTGGCTCTCGGGCGGAAGGATGATGTCATCGTAGGGCCCCACGATGGCACTAGCGAACTTGCTGAAGATGATGGGCTCCTTGGGCACAGGCACGTTCTGTTCTCTGCAGTGGTCCGCATAGTTCATGCCCACGCACAACACCTTGTCTGGCCGAGTGACTGGGGCCAGGAGCGTCACCTCTGCCCGTGGGAGGACTGGCAAGTGGATGGCCAGTGCTCTGCAAAGACCAGAACAGGAGAGGGGCCTGCTGGGGAGACCCTGCAGCTGCTACCAAGCTTTGCTTTTTAAAACATACTTTCTAGAGCAACCATCAGAGTCAGTATTGAAAATCAAGCCCAGCTATTGCCCCTTGATATGAGAGTACTGTTTATGTTCATCCAGTGTTGACTTCCTCTCCCCCATTAGGTAACATGGGCTTTCTCAGGTGGCTCGGTGGTAAAGAATCCACCTGCCAATGCAGGAGATGAGGGTTCAGTCCCTGGGTTGGGAAGGTCCCCTGGAGAAGGAAATGGTAACCCACTCCAGTATTCTTGCCTAGAGAATCCCATGGTCAGAGGGGCCTGGCGACCTACAGTTTGCAGGGTCACAAAGAGTCTGATACTACTTAGCGACTAAACAACAACATAATATGGAATTACATAATACAGAAATACATCATAATTTCCATGTAAGTGAATTCAAAGGGTGCAAATGGGGATAAAAGAAAGCTCTGTCTTCCTCCTCTTCTCCTAGGCACCCCACTCCCTCCCCACAGACAAATGCTGTGTTCTGTATAGATCTTCACAGTCACTCTGTGTAAACTCTTCTCCCATCTTTTTTATGCCAATGACAGCATGTTATATATACGCCTTTTAAAAAATATGTATTTTAGAGATCTTAACATATAAAGTCTATTAGCTTCCTCTTTTTTGTATGGTTATATACTACTGCACAGTAGATGCACCCAATTCTATAATAAGGGACATGGAAGGAATTTCTAATCTTGCAAGAATATGAAAGTAGGGGGAAAATACTGTTACCAACACTGTGTGTTGTCAAACATCTGTATTTATATCAGCTTAACAGGTGAAAATGACGTCTCAGAGTGGTTTTTAATTTGCTGTGTGTCAACATCTTTAGACCAGATACCATAGGGCTCCTGGGTTCAGGGAGGCACCTACCTAATCCAACTCAAACCCAAGAACCATCTTTAAGAACATCTTTGCAGTCCTCTCCCCTCTTAGGACCCCAGGTTCCAGCCCCTCAGGCAAGCAGGCCTTAACCCCCTAGGGAAGGCAGTGGGACAGAGTAGAATCCTGGCCCCCTCACCAAGCATGTGGCCTGGGGAAGGTCAGTCATCCTCCCTGGGGCGCCCCCTGTAAACTGAGCCTACTGTCACACAAGACTCCTAAGGCTCTTGGCCCAGAGAAAGGAAGCCTGCGTTACCCTGATCCCTTGCAAAAGAACTACCGTGGTTCTGTTTCCCAGGGCAGGGTTTCGGTGGTGACGGGGGGAGGGGAGAATGGGGCAGCTAGGGCAGGGCCATGCTGCCTGCTGACTTACCTTCTCACCACTGACAGAGCGGCTTCTCCCTGCTCCAGGAACTCCACCATTGTCCTGGGCAGTGTGGGCTCAAAGGCGTTGAGGTTGATGACACCCCCGCCATTCCCTGACTCCAGGCCCAGATGGGGTCCCGTTAGGTGGGGTGCCTGGAACTGCACCAATCTCATATCTCTGGAGGGCTGAAAGGGCCGCCTCTGCACCTGCAGCACAGTCGTGAGCAACCTCCTTCCACCAGACCCCAGCATCAGCTCCTATGGGGAGAAAGTGGGTCCCGAGGACAGAGGGCCTGAAACCATCGCTGGGGATCCCAAAGCTCCTCGAGCTGCAGCCCAAGACTTTTCGCCCCATCGGCCTTTCCTGGCACACGGCATGGGAAGTGGTCCAGATTTTGTTATTTCACCACGTATATAAGGTGAAGTTTTGCCCAATTCTGTGCCTGTAATGAAACACTGAGACAGTGAAGGACCAGGAAGCCTGGCATGCTGCAGCTCATGGGGTCTCAGAGTCAGACACGACTTAGCAACTGAACAACGACAATGAAACACTTCTAGAGAAGCAACTACTTCATGCCAGCCACTGAGCTAGGTCCCATCTTCCTTCAACTAGTGCTTCCTGACAGCTTGGGCTGTACCTGCACCACCGAGGCACTGGGCAAATGATGCAGGCCAGACACGCTCAGCCCTACCATCCTGCCTGCGGGGAAGACTGATGTTAACAACTGATGTGGTTAAGTAGGGTTCAGTCACTGAGACCACTGCTGGGAAGATTCGGAGAAGGCAGTGGCACCCTACTCCAGTACTCTTGCCTGGAAAATCCCATGGACGGAGGAGCCTGGTAGGATGCAGCCCATGGGGTCACGAACAGTCGGATACGACTGAGCGACTTCACTTTCACTTTTCACTTTCATGCATTGGAGAAGGAAATGGCAACCCACTCCAGTGTTCTTGCCTGGAGAAGTCCAGGAATGGCGGAGCCTGGTGGGCTGCCGTCTATGGGGTCGCACAGAGTCGGACATGACTTAGCAGCAGCAGCAACAGGAGCTGGGAAGATTGAGGGCCCTGCCTTTGTCGAGTTTCTTGAGGAAGTGTGGGCTAGGCTAAGATGAACAGGACTAGGAATTCATTGAAGTCTCTTGCTACCATGAGCTTGAATCCAGGTACAGGCGACACTGGAGTTCTTGATTTGGGTTAACGTGTCTTTGTGTCCTCAGGGTGTTAAGCGTGGGACACTTTAGCCCAGGGGTATTGATGAGAAATAGGAACCTCCAACAGGAGATTTGGAGGCTCAGGGACTCCCTGCAAGCCGTCAGCCATGCTCTGGGAAATTTGATCTGCTGGCTACTGCCTCCGGGAGAGGGCTGGTCATTCTGCTCTCCCAGATAACCACAGGCTGACCTTCCCACGTGACAGACCCTTGCAGGTTCTTATTTCGTCCTATAGCAATCCCTCCAGGCAGAGCGCCTCATTTCACAGAAGGGGCGTTGAGGCTTAAGGTGAAGTCACCAGCCACGGCACCTGAAAGTGGCCCCGCTGCTTCTGCGGGAATCAGCGAGCTACAGGGCCTGAGCTCAATCCAGCTCCGGAAAAGGGTCCTTAAGCAAAAAGGCTGGGACCTGGGGCGGCGCAGGCGTCATAAGCCTGCGAGACGAAGGTTTGCGTCCGGGATCGCGTGCCACTATCCACTCGTCTGCGCCCCCGTGTGGGTCCCCCAGTTTGCCCGTATGCCTAGCTCCCCTGCACTCGGTGGGCGCTCAGAAGGGCCCGCCCACCCCATCAGAGTGGTCGGAGAGACAGGGCAGCAGCGTTCAGTCCTGCCCATCCCGGGAGGCCAGGAGGGAGGCGGAGGCCCGGCGCGCCCCGCCATCTGGCCCAGATCTAACCTACCTGGCGCTCTGCGCTGTGGGGGTAGGACTCGCGGGCCCGAGACCACGATCACCCGGCGCCTGAGCGCAGGTACTGAGCTCGGGAGACAGCTCCCAGCCTAGAGTTCTAACAAGGGGGTGAGCCGAGGGGCTCCCCTAAATAAGACGTCAGCGGAGGCGGGCGCGCTCGTGACGTCACGGGGACAACGGCCAATAGTAGGGCGTCTAGTTCGGCGCCGGAAGTCACGTTACGGAGGGGGCGGGCCCAGCGCTGAAGGATAGTTGTTCTCTTAGTTGATCCTGCCGGCCTGCTGGCTCAGAGTCTACGCCCGGCACATTTCCGGAGGCACTCTCTTTCGGGACGCCTTGCGCTTGCACGAACTTGAAAGTGGGTGCTTCCTGAAATTTTGCGCCCTGGGCCCGCCTAGGGCCCTGTATCGGGACCAGGCCCTGCTCTGATCTTTGAGCAAAACGCGGTGGAGACCAAATTATGGCGCGCTGGTTGACAAGACAAGCATTTCTATTGTGCCAGATCAGTGAAGAGAGAAGGGATGTTTGTACCCATTTTACATCTGGGCAACCTGAGTCCGGAAGTGTTTTACTCAAGATGTCATGTTGACCACAAGTGCAGCCTTTTTACAGCCCTGACTTCATATGGGCTGCACACAGGGTAGTGGGAGGCATAACCTCCATTATTAGGAAACAGGTATTCTAGTGGAGAGGTGGTTTAATTAAACAAACAATCGTACTTTCCAGGCCTCTGGCATATGAAGACATAGGAGGCGGTCTGGGCTAGAGTCCCAACACTTAATCAAGGAGCAGACCATCAAGGGTTTTATTTGCCCTAAGGAAGGCGTTTGAGCCTTAGCTAATCTCACAGGAGGCCACTGGAATGTCCTCAGAGGGAGTGGGTTACATTTGAGAAGTTTTGTTCAGCCCACTCCTGCAAGAAAAGGTGTCTGGGTAAGAGTGATGCAGCTGAGAGCAGTGGTTTGGTGTGCAGCAGAGATGGTGAAAGTCCTGAGATGTTTAGAAGGCAGAACTGACAGCCCTCAATGATGACAGGAGGTGGGATTAAGGGGGAAAGAGGTGTAGGCTGACTCCTAGGTCTTTGGCCTGGTAGATGGCAGTGCCATTCACCAAGACACGGGTTCCAGGGAAGCAATGTGTCTGGGGAGAGGATGGTGAGCTCAGTTTTGGGTGGGTTGTATTTAATGTGTCTGTAGGTTATTAAAGGGGGCTCTGCATGGGTCTGGAGCTTCAGCTGTTGTCTGGCTTGAAGATGCAGGTCAGCATGCATGCATGCTAAGTCGCTTCAGTCGTGTCCGACTCTGTGTGACCCCATGGACAGCAGCCCATATAAATGGAACATGGCGGGTGAGTGTCATGGGTGGGGGATGTGCTAAAGAGAGCCTAGCATAACCCCCAGTCAGGAGACCCGCCATGTAAGGATGAGCCAGAGAGATGGAAGGGAAACAGTGAGACAAGAGAACTCATAACTTCAAAAGTTAAGTAGAGAAAGGGAAGATTAAAAAAAAAAAAAAGACTCAAACCAAACTTCTACTAATGTAAACTGCAATGTCTGAGATGAAAAATACCCTACAAGGCAGAGTCAAAGTTGCAGAAAAGAAGATTGGTGAATTTGAAAACACCACTAGCTTTTGGGCTGGTGCCTCCATCTTCTGGTAATTTGCCAAAATGACCGACACAAAGGGGAAGAGAAGAGACTAATGTTCTCTAGGCCTTTTAGAAAACGTGGAGTTGTTCCTTTGGCCATGTGCGTGTGAATCTACAAAAAAGGAAAGGGCACTGTTCAAAAAGGGAAGCCCCCTGACTGTGCCCACAACAGAACTGAGTCTGCAGTGTATCCCCGCATGCTGCCAGCATTGTTGGAAACAAACAGATGCAAGATTCTCCCCAAGAAAATTAATGTACATATTGAGGATGTAAGCACTCTAAGAGTTGGGATACCTTCCTGAAAAACGTGTGAAGGAAAAAAATAGAGGCACAAAGTAAGGGGGACTTCCCTGGCAGTTCACTGTTTAAAACTCCACTCTTCTACTGCAGAGCATGTGATTCTTGGTTGGGTAATGAAAATCCTGCATGCTGCCTGATGCAACCAAAAAATATTAAAATTGATTTCTAAAATATGCCAGCAGATCTTATGTCTAGTGAGGCTTTTTTTTTTAAGACCATTTCTCTGGGAGAAATTCAAACAGCTTAATATATGTGTAATTGGACCCTAAAGTAGAGGAGAGGGAAGGGGGAACAGAAAAAAAATATTTGAAGATATAATGACCAAGACTTTTCTAAACGTGATGAAAACTATAAACCCACTATACAAGAATCTCAACAACCCTCAAACACAAGACACATGAGGAAAATGACATCATGGCATAGCATAAACAAGCTAGTCTATATTAGTGATAAACAGAAAAATTTAAAAGCAGCCAGAGGACTTCTGTGTCCAGAAAAATGCAGAAGCACTTGTCTTTATTCCTCCTGTTAAGTACAACTAAAAACCTACACAAAGCAATCATAAGACTGAAAAAAGATGAGCAGGCAGGCCGGCATGGGGTCTGCATAGCCATGAGGAGACGCGGCAGTGAATTCTCTGGGCTCTTTTTTCTCATATATCTGGACAGGCGTTGCTGAAAAAGTTGGCAACTGGAGATGCCAACAGGTGCAGACACAAAAAGCCCCAAGAAAATCCTGCCCTCTTTAGTCAAAGGACCCAGAAAGGGACAGTCTTGCAAAACAGAAAATTTAGACAATAACTGTTGTGGCCCCCATGCCCACTAGCAAAGGCGGAGTAGGAAGCCTAGATTTTCACCCTTGCCAGCCTGTAATGAAGTGCCTCAACCCTTCCCCCATGTCAGAGCGGTGAGCAGGGTGGGTCAGAGAAGGGGAGGTGGGGAGCCTGAACTGGGTAGTAACAGGGTCACCCTCCACAGTGGAGGCCAGGTGAGGAGCTGGAGTTCCCACTATGCTCAGTAACAAAGATCCTTGAGTGTCATGGAGGCTGACTTAATGAAAATGAAAAATAACATATCAAAATTTGTGGAACTCTGCTAAGACAGTACTTGGAAGGAAATGTATAGCTCTAAATTCTTATTTTAGTAAAGAAAATTCTCAAATCAGTAAGCTTAGCTCCTCCTGGGGGTGTGTGTTAAGCCTCTTTAACCATGTCTGACTCTTTGCGACCCCATGGACTGTAGCCCACCAGACTTCTCTGTCCTTGGAGTTCTCCAGGCAAGAATACTGGGGTGGGTTGCCATGTCCTTCTCCAGGGGATCTTCCAAACCCAGGATCGAACCTAGGTCTCCCACAGTGCAGGCAGATTCTTTACCATCTGAGCCACAAGGAAGCCCATTTGCCATGACT